AATTGGAGAAACTGCGCCGGAGAAGAAGACTAAAAGAAGAAGGCAATGATAAAAGGAAGGTGGCTGATTGCGGCTAAAGAGAGGGAACAGCCAAAGAAAAAACTGCAACTTACCAACTAGGCAAGTTGCTGAATAAACAAATCTCTACTACTGCAAGTTGCTGCTTTACCTTTCTGCTGCAGAGAAGAAGTCCAGAAACCAACCAATCCAAGCTTCTCCAAATCTTTATAAATAGTTAGCCAATAGCAGTTAGAAAAACAACAGATTGGGTAGTTAGATTTAGTCACAAAGACAGTAGTTAGGTAGTTAGTTAGTAGGTTAGAAACAGGGTAGTAGCAGGAACAAAGAAGCAGACTGTCACTTTGTCAAGAGGCGAACGCCACTCGCCATAGTGAGTAGACAGAAACTGTCTCTGCTACCATCTTCCTTTTCTTTCCTCTAACCTTTTGGTTTAGACTTATGTCTTATCTTTTTTACTCTGTTGTTCTCATGTTTAACTCAATAAACATGAGTAACTAACTCAGTTAAGGGCTCAATCCCTACTATCTTTATGTGAAGGTTTTGATTCGTTTCCTTGATGAGGTGTTGTGCCTAGATAAGTGATTTAATTAACCTTTTAATTAACTTGGCCACTTAATTAAATGTGCTTGCATGGTTATGAAGATCTGGAAGGGGGAGCATAACCTTAGAACTGCTTAATCTAGTCTATGACAATGGAGGAAATCTACTGCGGTTCCAAACATCAATGAAGTTAGGTGAATGGCATAGGCGATCAAAGAAGGCTTAAGAACTCAATGGCTTACATTAATGAATTACTTTGACTGGAAGGTAGGTGATTTAGATAATCTAGGCCTCTTTATTCTGTCTGGAAGGAATTATAAAGAATATAAGTGCCTGATCGAACAACTAATCATACACTACAGGAGCATTTGAATCAAAACTGGATCATAAAGGTAGGAAGGTGATTGACCATTTTGCCTCCTCACTCTGTCAAGTGACTATTTTCACTCTCCCAAGTGACAATCTGTTCAACTCATTTTCTTTCCATTCAACACTTTGATCAGATTTTAAATAAGTTTATAAATATTTCTTTTGGAAGTGGTTCAACGGCAAACGACTCACCATTGATACGGTCGAAGTTCTCTCTCTCTTTCCTCTTTGAGTCATCGACAATTTTCAACTTTATGACAACCAAGTTGAACCAACTACTACATGTGTTTTAAAATACTCGTTTGTCAACGTGTACCATATCTCACCGTTCGTTCTGAAAAAATAGGACGTGGCCAATATTAAAGAAAAGACAATTTTACCCCTCCATGTGCATACTACCTTCTGTTACGATTTCTTCGGACACAAAGATGGAAAGTACCCAAAAAAAACTTTCCTTATCAATTGAACGTTTTTAACAACAAGGGTAGGACCAGAACGACCAGGAAACCTTCGGGGTTTTTTCTGAAGTGAGGCCTAGATGTTTTGAAAACACTTATCCATTGTGTTTATATTGATTATCCAACCGGTTTGAACTAATTATCCATTTTGTTTGTACCGGTTGTCCATTTGGTTTGTATGCCTATCCAACTTGTGTTGTAATTGTAATCCAATGGGTTTGTGCACATATCCAACTTGTTTGTACTGAATATCTATTTGGTTTGTATGTCTATGCAACTTATGTGTATTGGTAATTCAACGGATTTATATGTCTATACAAATTATTTGTACTGGTTATCCAATCATTTTTTTTTTGGTTTGGAAAAAATCATTGTCCAATACGCTAATACTGGTTATCCATTTTGTTTATGCTACTCATCCAATCTTTTTTTCTTTTGAAACACGGTTATCCAATGTGTTCGTAGTGATTATCCAATCGCGTTGTATTGGTTATCCAATTATTTATATTGCTTATCCAAATAAGTTTGCATTACTTGTCCAATCTTTTTTTTTTCTTTTTTTCTTCTCTCAAGAAAATCCTTGTCCAACATGTTCATGATTATCCAACTAATTGGTACTGTTTATCCATCTGCTTGGTACAGGTTATCCAACCATATTATTCCTCTCCTCCTTTTTATGAAAATACTTGTCCAATTCGTTTGTAGTAATTATCCAATCGTCTTGTATTGGTTATCCAATTATTTTTACCGTTTGTCCAAATAAGTTTGTACTGCTTGTCAAATCATTTTTTTTTTCTCTTGATAATATGTTTGTCCAAAGTGTTTATACTGATTATCCAACTCCTTGTTATTGCTTCTCTAGCCATTTTTTATCTTTTTATTTTTATGAAATTACTTGTCCAACATGTTTGTATTGATTATCCAACTAATTAGTACCGCTCATCCAACCTAGTTTTTCTTTTTCTTTTTTTTTTTGAAAAACAAATGATTGTCCAATGTTTGCATCATGACTATCCAAGTGCTTGGTACTGGTTATCCAATCAATTTTTTTCCTTCTCTTTTTATGAAAATCCTTGTCCATTTTTTGTACTGATTATCTAACCATTTTATATTGGTTATCCAATCATTTTCACTGATTATCCATACAAAATCTCTTTTCTTTTTTGTTTCTTTTTGAGAAAATATTTGTCCAATGTGTTCATACTGATTATATATCCAACGTCTTGGTGATGGTTATCCAACTTTTTTTCCCTTGCTTTTATTATGAAAATCATTGTCCAATTTTTTTGTACTGACTATCCAACCAGTTTGCACTGCTTACCCATATATTTTTAATGATTATCCAAATGGTTTGTAATGCTTGTTTTTTTTTATGAAAATGATTGTCCAAACTTTTATACTTATCATCCAACCAGTTTGTACTGTTTATCTAGTTATTTTTACTGGTTATCCAAATAGCTTGTAATGGTTATCCAATTTTTATTTTTTTGGAAAAATGGTTGTCCGATGTTCTCATATTGATTATCCAACCAACGTGTTGCACTGCTTTTCTAACTTTTTTTTTCCTTTTCTACTTTTTTTAAACAGATTATCTGATCGGTTTGACTGCTTATCCAATCATTTTACTGCTTCTCCAATTCGCGGCAGCTATCCATTGGTTTCCTAGTGCTTATCCAACATCTTTGTACTCACTATCTAACACAAATACTTTCCTCATTTCTGTCCGGAGCATTTTAATTATTTTTATTTTTTAAAAAAAATTCAATATTGATCTTATCGAATAGATCTCGTTGAGCAATATAAATTTCATGTATGATTTATTTTCTAATTCTTTACGGATTGAGATATATAAATTTTACAAGAATATCAATATAAAATAAGTTAGTTATCCATCTTTTTAAACTGGATATCCACCTTATTCTACCTATCAGAATTTAATCATGTTTAAGTCCGAATAAATATTTAATATAGATCTTGTTAAATAGATGTCGTCGAGTATTATAAATTTCATATATAATTCGTTTACAAATTATTTACGGATCATGAGATATGTTCGTTTGAATATTAGAGATATTTTATGAGGAGAGGAAAAAAAATGACAGAAACTAAACTTGTTAAAAATAGGAAGATTGAGAAAAAATACAATAAGAATTATATGTGCAAAAAATAGGAGGGGATATGCCATGCTCCTGCCAATGAATTACCATAATCTTGGTTGGGCATGCGCTTGCCCAAATTTGAATAATCAATAGAATTAAAACTGTAATTGGACTTCAAATTGAATTTGTGCTGTTTTTCTTATCGAATTTGAAATTTTATCCAGTTCCAAATCGATCTTAAGCCTTTACTTCTTTTTTTTTTCTCCTTTTCTTGATTTGGCGGGGGATTCGGGCAGGCAAGGTTTCCGTTGTCGAAACAAACATGGATTCTGTCTGCTATTGGATTGTAAGTACCTTTCAATTAATTATTACCAGTTAAAAAACTCGTTGAACTTTTTCGAGAATTGTTTCATCAATTTCACCAAAATAAAAAACCTCATCAGATAAAATTCCTCTGACTGAAGCAAAATCTCCATCGCCCGATCAGAAGAGTTCACACGAATTCTTCACTCAATATTCTGGCTGGCAAAAGTACTGATTTTTTCACACAACAGAAGAAATGTCTCTTGTTACTCCTCTTCGTTTTGGGTGCTTCTCTATTTCCTTTTATTTGTCTCTTTTTTGTTATTATACGTTTTAATTTACAGTCTGCATATTGGTTTTGATTGCGGAAATTACAGTCTATGTTGTAATTTACTCATCACTAGAACATGAGAGACTCGCTGCAACAGTTGCGAGGGAGATAATTTTAATCTTTTGAAATTTCTTGTTGCTCGTTGTAACAACTGGTTATAATGATTACAATATATATATATACATATATATATATATTAATATATACTACTGTGTCCAAAAAAAAATCGTCCACATTGAATCTTAACGTGGACGATTGTTTTGGACTGAGGGGCAGAGGGAGTATATACTATATAAAGTAGTTGATTCTAGCTAGTTCATTTATCAAAGATTATGATATTAAATTTCGTATGGGAAATTCTTTCATGGTTTTTTTTTTAATTATTTTTGTCAAATTCTTTCATGATGGTTGTTAATTAGGTATGTTTACTGACTGTTCTTAATGCTGTTTTCAACAACTGTCAATGGGGATGATAGTGTCTGCTAGGAAACTAACTAAGATAGGTCTTTGAAGTATGTGGTTATATCTGTCATGGTGATGAAACTATAATTGGTATTGATCTTGGGGCTGTAAATTCCCGCTTTGGAGTGTACCAAAATCGTAATGTTGAGGTCATATCCATTGATTCTGAGCTTCTGATCGGAGATGTCACCGACAATCAATCACCCATTCACTCAAAATCTATAATTTCTTTTACCAGGAGGTTTATTGGAAGAGAGTGAGTTCATCACCATTGATTTGGACTATTTAATTTCTGACATCTTTAACACTTTGATAGAATAGAATAAGCTAGCACTTTGTTTTGCTAATTTCTTTTTTTTTTTACCCCATCAAATGGTTTTTAGGTTTGATGATCTACAGGTTTAGAAAGAAATCAAGATGCTGCCTTTTAAGGTAGTTAATCAAGGTGGGAAGCCATACCTAACCGTGGAAATGAAAAGTAGCAAAATAAAGTTGATGAGCCCTAAGGAAATCATTAGTATGATGCTGAAAGGGATCAAGCAAAAAGCAAAATCACACTTGGGGATGGAAATCGAGGAGGTCGTGCTCACTCATCCAGGTAAATTAATTAGCAGCTAAAGTACTTATATGTATCACTACTCCATTGATTGTTGATTGCTGAAATTACTTTGTTTGTGCAGCTTTTACTTTTTCCAATGCGCAAGTTCAGACCATTCAAGATGCAGGAGCCATTGTCGGGCTAAAAGTTAATGTACTTTATGATGCTATAGCTGCTGCATGTGTAAATTATGGACGTATGACTAAGCCAAAAGAAAATATTCTAGTTTTTGATCTTTGAGGCAGTACTTTTGATGTTACCATATTGAGTAGACAAGTTAAATTTGTTGAAGATTTTTTCGACGACAGTCTTGCAAGAAATGGCAGGTGGGAGGAGAAGATTTTGATCATAGAGTTATGGATTACTGCTTGAACCTGATCAAGAACAAATACAATAGAGATATAAGTGGTGATAAGCAGGCTGTTACAAGGCTTATAAAGGAGTGTGAGAAAGCTAAGAAAGTCTTGTGTGACCAGCCGCGTGTAGATGTCAAAATCGACTCACTTTTTGATGGAGTTGATTTCTCTGAACCACTATCAAGGGAAACATTCAAAGAGCTGAACATGGATCTGTTTTAGAAAACCATAGACCTGGTAAAGCGGTGTTTGAAGGATTCAGATTTGGAAAAGAAAGACATCGATGATAGAATATGGAAATAATCGAAACCCTAATTAGAGTTTTCTATGTAGACGGCTAGGGTTGTTACACTATTGTACTATAAATACCAAAATGTATCATGTGAATAATACACACAATAATTCTTTCATGGTATCAAAGCTAAGTTTTGAGTTTTTGAAGGAAGCCAAAGAGAAGAAGCAGCAGGTATTTGTGTTTGGTGTTTTGCTTCTTTTTTTTTGACTAATGAAAGAAACCGAAGAAAGAAACAGCGGCGGCAACTGATGATGATGATGATGAAGAAGAAGGGTTGTGTGTGTGTGTGTGTCGTCTGCAAAAGGGAGGTGCCGACAGTAAGATGAAGAAAGAGAGCAAGCGGAAGAATTAAACAGAGAGTATGATTTTGTGGAGGCCGGAAATCAACAGCAGCGGCCAAAAATCAAGAGACCAAACGGAAGACATAAACAGCAGCGGCCGGAAATCAAGACTAGAAAGAGAGGGAGCAGCCGCCAGCCTAAAAAAATGGAGAGGCCAGGAAGTGGAGGCCGGAAATCAGGAATTGGAGCTGCCGGCCGGGTTCGATTTTGGGATTGTGTGATTTTGTGTGTTGGCTATGGGATTTGGAGCTTCGGCGGTTCGGCGGAGAAGAAAAGAAAACGGACGACAAGAGAAGAATAGTGTAAGCCAGCAAGAGAGAGAAAGAAAAGAAAGCTGACGGCGGAAAAAAAATTGAGAGGCCAGGAAAGAAGGATGAAACCTCCCCAAAATACCTCCCCAACTCTCTTCCATTTCCATTTCCTCAACTCTCTTCGGCTCCCCAAAACAATCCTCCCCAATCTCCTTTTAAATATCCCTTGTTCCTTATTTCACGATCCTTCCCTTCATCAAAATCCTCTCCATTGGTTGCTTCTCCTTCACAAAAACATGTGTCATCCGTTCCTTTGGTATCTGCACCCACACCTTCCATTTCATTGTTACATACTTCGGATCCTCCTATTTCGAATCTCCCTATTCATCATATGGTCACTAGAACTCGTGATGGTACTCATAAACCTAAACAGATACTCTCTCTTACTGCCACTACTACATCCTCTTCACTCCCTACTGAACCAGAATCCTTTACTGAAGCGAATAAATACCCTGAATGGCGTGCCGCTATGAATGACGAATTTAATGCTCTCCTCACTAATCATACATGGGATTTAGTCCCTCCCCCTGTTTCTGCCAATATTATCGGCTCCAAATGGATTTTTCAAGTCAAGTTAAAATCTGATGGCTCTCTTGATCGATGTAAGGCACGTTTGGTCGCTCAAGGCTACAATCAGCAGCCTGGACTTGATTATGACCAAACGTTTAGTCCGGTGGTTAAACCTGTGACAATTCGGACTGTCTTAAGTATTGATGCTTCTCAAAAATGGCCCGTTCATCAGTTGGACGTTAAAAATGCGTTTTCACATGGTTATCTTAATGAAATTGTCTATATGAAACAGCCTATTGGTTTTGTTCATCCAGACCATCCTCACTATGTCTGTCGGTTGAACAAAGCCCTTTATGGCTTAAAGCAAGCTCCCAGAGCTTGGTTTCATCATTTCACTGCTTTTCTGCTTGCACAGGGTTTTAAAGGCAGTCGCTCGGACACTTCCATGTTTGTGTATTCTTTTGAATCGGATATGGCTGTTTTGTTACTTTATGTTGATGACATTCTCTTGACAGCTTCCAGCAATCATCTCCTCACTGCTATTATTCAGCCGCTGAAAGGAGCTTTCGCAATGAAGGATCTTGGTCCATTCAGCTATTTCCTTGGTATTTCTGTTGTTCCTCACTCTGGTGGTTGGTTTTTACACCAACGCAAGTATGCTGAGGAGTTGCTTGCTCGTAGTCATCTCACCGATGCCAATCCAGTTGCAACTCCACTTGCTCCGGCTTTTTGAGTCTCCACCGTTTCACAATCCGACTCTCTATCGGAGCTTGGTGGGTGCATTACAGTATCTTACTTTCACCAGACCGGATATTCTAGTATGCGGTTAATCTTCTCTGTCAACATATGCATGATCCTCGTGAGCAGCACTTACTTTCTCCCTTGATCGCCTTATATTCCGATGCTGATTGGGCTGGATGCCCTACTACTCGCTGCTCTACGACTGGTTTTTTTGTTTTTTCTGGGTTCCTCACTAGTTTCCTGGTCTTCCAAGAAACAATCCACTGTGTCTCGATCTTCTGCTGAGTCTGAGTATCGTGCTGTTGCCTCTGCATTGGCTGAATCTGTCTGGTTGGAGAATCTTCTGTCTGAACTTCACATCAAGCTCTCACATCGCCCGGTCATCTTGTGTGATAATGTTTCTGCTACATACCTAGCTACAAATCCGGTTAATCATGCTCGCACCAAACATATTGGTCTAGACATTCATTTTGTTCGTGAACGTGTTGCTGCTGGTCTTCTTCACGTCCTTCATATTTCCTCACAATCCCAGCTTGCAGATGCCTTTACCAAATTTTTACCTAAGGATAAATTGTATTTGTTTAGAACCAATCTAGGCATGATTACTTCTCCTGCTACAATTGCAGGGGGATGATAGAATATGAAAATAATCGAAACCCTAATTAGGATTTTCTATGTAGACGACTAGGGTTGTTACACTATTGTACTATAAATACCACAATGTATCATGTGAATAATACACACAATAATTCTTTCAATTGACGGCATTGTGCTGGTTGGAGGAAGCACCAGAATTCCTAAAGTGCGAGAACTATTAAAAGATTTCTTCGATGGGAGAGAGCCTCATGAGGTGACCAATCCAGATGAGGCTATAGCCTGGGGAGCTGGAACTGAAGGTGCCCTAACATCTGGTTAACTTCATCAAAATTCAATATTCAGGCCCCCACGAAGACGAGTTGTTGGTGTCAATGTTGGAATTGAGATAGCTGGTGGAGTCATGGTTAGATTAATTCCATGGCGCAGTTATTATAGTTCACTTCCATTAGAGAAGACTCAAGTTGTCACAACGAATCAAGATAATCAAAGTATAGTTGCAATTAGAGTATATATAGGTACATCCAAGTTACGGAACATAGGAAACTTTGAACTGTCTGGGATCCCTCCAGCTCCAAGGTAATTTACATTGATTGATCAGTCAATATATATATATATATATATAGAACATTGAATTTATGATGACACTGAAATTTTTGTTGTCGTCGCAAAGACGTCCCCAAAATTGAGGTCACAATTTATATGGACATAGATGGCAAACAAAAAGTAAGTGCCGTAGAGAAAGTAACAAACATATCAAACACAATCACCATTGGGCATGTGCATGATCATGATTCTCGAGAAGCAGAGTTATATGCTCTAGAGCGGGAATGCATCGTCTCGGGCGGCGACGGATTTGATAGAGATAACAACAACACTTGTTCCGAGCTTAGAAAAGCTATGGTCAAAGATATTTGCATTCTTGGATGCCAAGGCAAAACAAGACCGAGCGAATGGCAAAGGAATGCGGAACGAGGAAGTGGTTCTTCGAGTTCTTAACTGACAGGTCAGAGAGAATAGAAATGGTTCAAAATGTTAATAGAGTCTATGACAATGAAACTTGTGCTATTAGATAGCTTAGGGAAATTTATGAGATTGTTCATAAATTATACTGCCTCCATTAAAAAATAAATAATTAAATCTTGTGATGCTTAAAGTATTATATATTTTTAATAAAAACAGGTATTGTGTACTATATTGTTCATAAATTACTAGTCATTATGGCTTATTGTTTCGCACTTAGTAATCTTGTTTGTTTGTTTTTTTAAAAAAAGCTAAAAATATATTTAGAAAAAGAAAAATAGGATACAAATAATAATATGTGACCTACAAATGGCGTTAAAAAAAAGGATAGTTTAACCGAACTGCAAACCATAAAAATCCGGTAAACGGTTTTAGTTACTTGCCTTTCACACGTTAACTATGGATCTACTTTCCATTAGAAAATTACCTCTCTATCAGTTTAATCAGTAATGATTAATTTTTTTTATTGGATTTTGGTTATTTAGTTAATAATAGTGAATCGGATAACTGTATAACTTTTTTCTTTAAAATGTACATGTATATTAGTTAAAAAGTACCTAAACAATTACATCGCATCCTATGAAATACTAAATTATATAGTATTACATCTTCCCTACTCACTTTAATCAGTGAGCAAGAACGAAATAAAGAAATGCAAGTAACTAACAAAAAAAAACCTCCTCAGCCTCAGAAGTGATTAAAGCAGACCATAAATCTTCGGTCAAAGATTCACAGTCTGTATAAACTTGAAGTCGAGTAATCCCTAAATGTAATGGCAAGGGCAAAAGACAAGTTACTGTATCGGCTTGAAAAAGAGAAAGTACACTTAGATCCACCGCCTTGATTTGTATAACCATACCATGATGTGATAGTATCTTCCAAGCACTAGCCGCTTTGCTTGATTGATGGCTAAACGATCCATCAAAATGACTAAGTGCTTGTTTGGACGTCAACTTTCGTTTCATTTTGCCACTTAAAAGTGGAAAGTGTTTCAAATTGAACTAAATGGGAAATAAAAATGTTATTTGGATGTTGGTTTTGAAAAAAAAGTATTTTGAACTACATTTTGAAATATCAAGTACAAGTCATCACTAAACAATTAAATACTGTCAATTATAGTCACTGCAAAAAAGAACTTTTCCAAAAACAATCACTCAAAAATGGAATCCTGCCAAGTTTGTCACTGAACTATTTGTAGTTTTAAAATGGTCATTACACTAACAAAAAGTGTTTCAAGTTGGAATTTAAAATGTAAATTAGAAAGTTGTTTGGATGATGTTTTTTTTCCATTGGGTTTTGTGTTTAAGAGGTAAAATGAGTGAAAATGTAAAATGGAAGGTTATCCAAACAAGACCTAAGGAATCTACCGGACCCCTCGCTGGTAGCAATGGTTGTGTGTTGGGAGAA